CAAGCCAGGATGGCAAAGATGTGAACTAATGGTATGTCTCTTACCCTCCACTCCCTTTAGCACCTCACTGCGTTCATGTTTGGGTTTCCCTTTTCTATGTTCTCTCCATGAGTATTTGAGAACTCAGTACCGATCATGCACATTTACTAAAACGGGCTGTTGTTGCAAGTGGAAAACTCCGGAAGATTTCGGAGTCAACCTTCTCTGAATCTAACCCTATCCATTAATGGTGTGAAGGGGACTAGACTCTAAGTGAAAGGTTGTAAGTTTTCTCCCCCCGTGGTTTTCTACTTAACACAGCATCTCCTCGGAACAGGTCGATGCTCATTGCTTAGTCACTTTCTCTCAATACCACTGCCTTTTTCCTTTTCCTTCTCACCTACCCTGCCTCAGCAACATGAAATAATATTTTTGGGTGTACAGAGTGGAAATCATTGCAAACCCCAATTAAAATATGATACCTACACACATGGAAACTCATTCCTGACCCCTTCACAGCTGCCCAATATCTTTCCTTCTCTTCCCAGTTGCTAATTGGGGTCTCTTATATTGAGCCTTATGGATACATTTCAGGCCACAATTTTATAATTGCTTGGAGGGAGAAAATGAAGAAAGAAGAGCTGAAGTTACGAGATCTGCTTCTTCTACTTCCTTTTTCCTCTCACGGAGGAAGTGGATATTAGGGATGTTTGAAAACCTAGCCTTTGGCTCCCTGTTAGGAAGAGAGGGAAAAGTCCAAAGTCAATACTCTTTATAAACCAATTCACATCATGAATTGCAGGATTCATACAAAAAATAAAACCTCTTGGAATCCATTTAAATGTCTTGCCCACATTTATACAGTCAGTGGCAGAATTAGATCTAGAACCCCAAAATGCTGGGATCCAAAGTTAATGGTCTTTCTACCATAGTGTGACACTTTTTATTTCTTTGAACTAGAGACAATTTCCCTGTCCTCAATCCACAGGAAAACTCTATTAAAGAGTGTGGGTGAGGATGCAGGCCCTCCCGGAATCCATAGTTGAACTATCGAATCAGCCTAACCTTTTGCCAAACCACATCCCTAAAACTAAGGAAAGAAAAGAAATTAATTTAAGGAAAAGGTAGATGAAACACAAGCTTCTTCCTGGTAGGACAGTGTGGTGTGTGGGGAAATACCTGGACTTAAAATAAAAGAGCTGCATTGTACATCAACTGTATATGACAAAAAAGGAAGTTATTAGAAAAAAAAAGATCTGGGTTTGAATCCTGATTGGACTATATTATGTGAGTCAGCTAAGATTGTTACTGGAACTCTCTGAGTGTAAGATAAAGATTTGAGTGAGAATCTATGACCTAACTTACCTTCTGTACTGGCTGTTGTGAGAATTCAAATATACATATATTAAACTTGAGCATAGTTCAACTATTTGGCATGTGAGTCAATAACCACTTAGAATAATGGCCAGCATGAGGTAAATGCTCAATAAATGTTATTAGTTTTATTAAATATTCCAATATGGTTCTCAATCTCCATTCTCAAACCATCCCTTTAACTCTATTTCTTTTTATTTCTCTCTCTCTCTCTCTTCTCTACTATTCTGTAGCTCCTTTCTCCATGAAGTTTTTATTAAAAAAAAAAAAAAAAAGGAGCAAGATTTTAGATCTTAATGAGATATTCTCTAATTTAAGTCCCAGATAATGCAGTTTCCAACCCATGTAATATATTAGCTCATGGTGTCTGGTTACAGTTACTTAAAGAAGTATTCATTGAGGAAGTTGGGTTTCAAAACGGCTCCAGAACACACACACATACACACACACACACACATACACACACACACAACATACCAAAAACTACTAAGATTAAGAAAAGACCTTTTATTTTCAGATAATTAAATCAACTATTAAAAATTATTTGCAGGAGTCAACTATTTCTTGCAATATAACAATGGTATTTAAAACCAGTGTACTTCGTCAACAAAATGAATTATTTTTATGATAAAGTACTTACAATTTTAAATAAAATTGTTCCGAAATCTTAAGGTGAAAGTAGCTTGATTATACTCTTGCATTTACACATATTTAAAGACATTATCAAGACCAAATTCAAATAGTAATCTACAATCAAGGCCAATGAAACTACACAACTATATTTTAATTGATATTTTGTAATGCTTCTTTGGCATATTTACCCATCAGTTTTCTATCTTCTCTGTATGAATGACTATTTTTATACATTGTGAAGACAGAGAGCATGCACAGTAGGTAGTTCAAGTTGATGGTTCTGCAGTGGTAAAAAAAACTAAATTTTAAGTCTAATTGCTCTGTTACCAGAACTTTAGTTTTGTATGAACTGTTGTGAATTTCTCAGATATGTGATATGAGGGACTAAGCATTACCACAAAAACTTATCTCTGATTTAACAAATATTTCAAGGCCCTGTGGAAAGCATCCTAGTTGCCAGTCTATTGTTATGAGAAGTTTAGAAAAGACCAACACCTTTGACTATTTGTTAAGTCCCAAATATGTATATACATATGTGTATGTGTGTGTGTGATATGAATAGCCCCATATGATCCCCAGTTTTTAAGACATAAAGTGTTCACTAGTAAAATGTACAACACTGTTCCACTAATTGCAGTCAATTTCACACACTTACATGGCAGCAACTGGTATTCCAAAACACTCACTAATCTGCCACTGCACAAAAGGCCAAGACGTTAGCAGTGGAGGCTGATTGATAAAGTTAATGCAGAGGACCGGGATTAGAGAGCTGCTATAAAACAGCATCACATACTGCAATATTTTGTGAATCCTTGCTGTAAGGGAACAATATTTGCAAGCCAGCGGACAGCAGTCATAGGAGCCGCAGAGGGAAAGATGTTTTAGACATGAGTAGTTGGACAGTGCTCATTTTTTATTCCTCTGTATAAGCCCATACAATCTTATCATTGCTGTCCTTAGGCAGTTAGCAGGTTTAAGATTCTGTCCTAAAACTCACCCTCTTCCACTTAAACTCCCTCACTCTCAGACATCCCTGAAACAGCCAATGAAGGAGCATGACGGCCACTACTTGCACTGTGCCTTCCCCTTCCTATTCGGACTCTGTCAAGCAGCAGCCCATAGTTTTCACTGGCTGCTGGAGGCCTCCATCCACCTGCTGTCTGCAGCAAACACCAAAAGGAACAGTAGCAAAACTGTAAATCCTGACCAGCAGAAAAGGTGCCCAGGGCAAGTGGCAAAGGCTGCAATCAGTGAGGACAGACGGACTGACAACCAGACAGACAGACAGCAGCACCATCAGACACCATCCATTACTTCCAATCTCAGAAGAGGGGAAGCCTGCAGCACCAGGGATGTCATTGTTCCACAAGGGACAGGCAGCAGATTAACGAGGGTTCTGCCTCCCTCAAGCCAGCAGGAGCAGGGAATTCAGAAACCTGCTGCTCTTTATAAAGCCAGGCCAGCTCTGGCCTTCCAAGTTAATGGCCCTTTTCTGAGTCTACAATGAAAGAACAGAAATGATTGGATTTCTACTCTTGATGTGACCCAGCACCCACAGCTCTCTCTCTCTCTCTCAATATTCTCCTCTCCCATCTAGGTATCAGCTACACTGGGGGGACCCATCAGCCTGTGAATGCAGCCCCCTCCATTCCTGTCCTGTGAGGCACTGCTGCACTGAGGGGAGCAGAAGAAACCTTTGGTGGCAGCATCTTCTCTTCAGGAGGCAATCAGAGGGGGTGGGGGGGAGTCATACTGGGTGAGTTCTGTGCCTGCCTGGCACCCCTGTTCCCTCCCTGCCCGTTCTTTGCTATCAGCTAATTCAAGATGCAACAGGTTCCCTTTGGTGCCTCATGCCAATCCTGTACCCCCAGCTACACTTCTGGCCTAACCAGGTGACACCAAGCACTTAGTTCCAGTCAGGGTCTCTAAATTCCCTCACCCCTGAGTTGAAAACTTTCCTGAAGACATGAAGCCCTCCCAAGGGAAGGCAGGGTTGAAGTTCCATTCAGCTCCACTCCAGGTTCAACGCTAAGGAGCAAGGAAAACCAACTCTGGGTGCCAGTACCTTGTAAGCAGCACAGTCACACACTCCTGCACCACCAGCAATGGGCCCCATCCCCTCCCCAGACACAGGAAAATGGGGCACTGGACAGGGATCCCTTGAAGGGTTGATGGACTTTAAAGAAGGAGATGTGTGCAAATATCCAGTCCCCAATTGTACTGCTTGCACCAGGAACTGAGCAGGCCCCAGAGGTCTCTTGGAAACCAGGAAAGAGGAACCTCTATTTTATTCACACTGTACTCTCCATCAGATTCTCCCACTATTTAAAACTTTGCATTGCCAATGGCATTATATATAGGTAAGAAAATGTGTCTTCACACAGGTATTCTGTGTAAAAGACTGTGAATAAAAGGTTAAAGAGAGGCTGGGGAGGCAGGTTACCAAAGATGGCAACTGCCCCCCAAAATAAGACCCAACCTTGATCTGTGAGATGAATGAGCACCAAAATGAACACTAAAAATAAGCATTTTTCTTATGTAAATACTGGCACCCTTCACTGGGGTAACCCCAACCTGCTAAAGAACTCCAAGAAGAGAAGAGGAGCTATTCTCAGCACCTCTTCTTCCCACCTCCCCTTCCTTCCACTCCTCCCCTGCCCCCTAACCTGCTCGCAGCCCAGGGCCCTTCCACTTGGGTGGGATCAGCTCTTCTCAGCTTCCGCAGATCCCAACCCCTGGGTGGTCTCTGTCCACCCAACCCTCCTCTGCACTCCAGTCTCAAGCCATCCTCTCATGGCTCTGGCTCGGTGGCATCCTCTCCTTCCTCCTGTCCCCCTAACCTCTTCCCTGCTCAAGCCCAGCGCCCCCAGGCCCCCGGCGGGCGCCTCCGCCCGCACCCAGCACCCTCGCCCGCCCGCCCCTCCCCCACACTAGCCGAGAGGATCGGGAGAGTGAGTGGTGAATGGACCGATGGAGGCACGGAGGCTCGGATGGCGCGGCTGGGGGTGGCTTACTTGAGCATGGCTTCTTCTTTTTCCTCCTCTTCCTTCTGCCGGTCCATCACTGCCATGATAATGTTCCTCTCCTCCTCGGTCAGGTGGCTCAGGTCGGGCAGCTCTTGCATGGGGGGAGGCACCGTGGGTGGGCGAGCACCGCGGGGCCCCACAGCCGAGGACATTTTCGTGGCCTGCCGCCCCTCCTCCGGCTCTCGGGCTCTCACCTTTCGGATGCACGCCCAGCGGCGGCGGCGCCCCTGCCTCCCTCACAGCGGAGCCCTCCCGGCGGCGGGAGGAGGAGCAGCGGCAGAGGCAGCAGCAGAGCCGGGGAGACGGCGAACCCCGTCTTTCATGGTTGTTTGCATCCACCCAGCCCCGGATGCTGCCTTTGTTTTGGTCGCCCTGGCGAGGCTCGGGGCCGCCCGGATGCCTCCCGCAGCCCAGCCTCGGCCGGCGGGGGCGGGCAGGCAGCGGCGCTGCGGGCGCGGCGAGGGGGCGAGGGCTCGCGCCAGGCTCGGCCGATCCGCGCGTCGTGGGCTGGGCGCGCGGGGCGGGGGCGGGGCCGGGCCGGGGCTGGGGCCGCCGCTGGGGCTGCTCCCGGCTCGGCTGCCTCCAGTTTGGGGCTGCGGGAGGGAGAGGGAGAGTTTGGGTGTCAGTTAGGCGGAGTCTCGGAGGCTTCGCTCCCGGGTGATGCTGCTGCTCTCGCAGACACAGCTGCCAGCCGCTCACTCCCCAAGCGCTCCGCCCACGGGCACCCACCCGCCCACTCCCCGGGTCCGAGCCACGCGTGCCCCAGCCGCTCCCCTCGCGCTCGCCAGCGTGCACCCTACATCGCTCCATCCCCAGGTACCCCTCACTCGTGAGTCATCCTCCTTTCCTGGTCCCTGGTCTCTGTCATCCTCGCCAACCCTGTTTGTTCATGGGTTGCGTTCACCATCATCATCCTCGCTACCATCTTCATAGTGGAGCATTCATATTATTTGAGCACCCACGGTGTTCTTAACAGCGGGATGGAACACCTCTGAGTGCATTTCCCCCCTGAGACTGTATCTTCCTCATTACTAGTCAAGTGCCTTTAGCCACAACAGTGTGATTTTAAAAAATAATTTTGATATGCACACAAAACCTATAACAGCCTGGATTTTCTGGGTGCATTGTAGGCAGTATCTTTCTTGACCCATCCTCAGTAGGACTAATCTGCAATCCTAATTTTTCCTCAAGATGCCCCACAACATTGCAACTCTTTAATTTCTTATTTTGAGCTATGTGTAGCCCATCTCACATAAGCACACTTCTCTAGTACTTGCAAATGAATTATCTACTCTAATTTTGCTAATGATGCTCACTATCATCACGGACTCACTTCTTAGCTTCTGTGGGTGCTTCTCAAGAAACACTGATCCCTGATAGGAAAAACACCCAATATCATATTGTAAGAAGCTTCTGTTCATTGCCTGGCCCAGTGATAGGCGTTAAGGATGAGCTTCTCTTGCTGATAAAGGCAAAAATAGACAGTCCTTTCAAAACAGGTATGTTATCAGTTTTGAAACCTGAAGACTGAATTTTCTTAATATAATTGTAAAAGGATCAATATAGAGAACAGTTCAAATTGAATAACACTTTTAGTTTTTTTTATTTTTATCAATGGTAATGAGAGAATTGATATGCTTCCCTCCTGGGGAAGTCTTTCTATACTTCCAGGAGGAATCTAGCACTAATAATTTTTTCCTCCAAGCTTAATTTTCTTAGTAAAGAAGAAGATGATGTTTATGAATCCTAAAAATCCTAATATCTTCAAGTTTACGGAATTCGTGGTTTTAACCACTTGATCTCCCATTGAACACAGGTGTTGCTTCTACATGGATACATCTGTTCAAATACTTTCAAACCTCTTAAATCTATTCCTATCTCTAAATCCCTCTTCCACCTGAAAATCTTTCAACTATTTCAGTTGTCTACCATGCCATCTTCAATTTTCTCCAGAGTAAACTTTTCCAATTTATCCAACCAGTAATTGTGTAGCATGATTTTAAAGTGGGTCATTGTGGTCACCAGCCTTTGGACTCACTTGTGTTTTTTGTTTTGTTTTGTTTTTCACCAACCTTGCGGAGCAATGGTATCAATAAAGAACCAAAAACAGTGTCTGGCACTTTCTAGTGCTTTATAAATATTATTTTTATTTGCACAACTGAACATTGGCCTAACTTTTTTGGTAGCTGTGTTGGTTTTGAGGATATCACTGAAATAAACACAGGTCACTCAAATATATACTTCTTTTTTATAAGTTCTATTGCCTGAAAAAGATTTCTTCTTTCCTCTAATTAAGCAATTGATGAAATTACTCTAATCGGCATCTTTTCTTCATTTTTTAAAAAAATTATACTTTTTCCCTCCGATCAACATATATTCAGACGGACAGGGGGAATAGTTTGAATTCTGGCTCTATGGTGATTTCATGATTTTGGAAAAATCATTAATCCTTTTATAAATGTCTGTTTCCTTGTCTAAAAAATGGGATAAAGACATTTACCTCAAAAGAGAAAAGAAACTTAAATGAGGAGACATATTTGAAGCATCTAGTTGTGTGTGTAACACTTTGTAATATTCTTTTTCTTATTTCTTGCCCTTTCCAAGAAATGTGTTAGGCCACCTCTCAATTATTAATGTGCAGAGGGGAGTAGAAATGTAGATGGTACAGTCATTCTATCAGATGCCTGTGTTTGCTGGTCAGTGTGAAGATGCAACAGACTAAAGCCTTGTCCTCAAGAGGTTTACAATCAAGTTGGTACTCCTGGAATTCCTCTAAAATACAAATAAAGGAATAAATTCTCAGTAGACATTAGAACTAACTGGACAAAGATTTTGAAGGCAGGGGCCTAATGAGCAGTTAACAGTGGTGTTTTTATTTGCTCGGTCTGCTATAACAAAATGCCACAGACTGGGTGGCTTAAATATCAGACATTTATATTCTCACAATTCTGGAGAACTAGAAATCCAAGATCAAGATGCCAGCAGAATTGATATTTTTCCTGAGGCCTCTTTCTTTGGCTTGTAGATGGCCACCTTTATTCTGGCTCCTCATATGGCCTTTTCTCTGTGCATGCTCTCCCTGGCATCTCTGCTTCTACTTATAAGAACATTATTCCTATTGGATTGGGGCCCCACCCTTATCACCTCATTTAACTTTAATTACCTCTTTATAGGTCTTATCTCCAAATACGGTTACATCCAAAGGTACTGAGGATTAGGGCTTCAACACATGAATTTTTAGGGGGGCACAATTCAGTCCATTACGTGTGGTTTCCATTTATAAAAATTACTTTGGAAAATGGTGATGATGTATATTATCTAGATGACTTAATGAAAAGAAGCCTAGGCTCCAACATCTTTATGTTCATAGCTACTTCCTTGGGCACCATAAGTGTATTTGAAATCAGTGTGTGAATAAATGAAAAGAAAAATGAGGGAATTAATTGACCAATAAATTGGTAGTTGCCATGGTGTAACCCAGGGTCTCCCCTTTGATCTGAAATTTCATCCATTATGGAGGGGTTCACAACCGATTTCTAAAATCCAAGAAACGTGTAAACTTGATACAAATTGACCTCCAGAAAAGCAGAACTTACCTGAACTTAAATAAGCAAGCACACACCCAAAGTAGGTATACCAATGTAGGTGACACACATGATTAGTTCCTAAATAGACTTTACAGAAGAAGTTCAATAAACCTAGAAAAATATACATAACCTCCTTCCTAGAAATTCACAAAGCACCTAAACAAATAAAAAGTGTTAAAAAGCAACTATTTACTTCCATAAAGAAATCTGTTTTACCTGGTTTGGACTGGCATCTCCCAAGTGTGTTTTGGCTGTAATAGAACTGCGTTCTCCCCTAAAGGGGAAAATGTGCTTTAGACAAGCTTTGGAAAAATTTCTGACTTACTAAACTGGTATTCAAAGATATTAACTAGAGAGATCATGAAACTTTGAATGAAAAATCTTAAACCTCTATTTATAAAATATGTATGAGGTACCCTTAAGGTCAACACTAATATTATGTTCAGAGTACTAATCAAAAACAATGACTTAGACAAACTCCTTTAAAGTAAATTTCTTAGTTATTTTTTCCGTGGATACTATCAAATCATCGTGTCTCAAAATAACTCTAAAAATTGGACACCACTGTTAATAGCTGAGATTATAACTTCAGAGTGGAAAACCATCTAAATGGAGTCAAGTTTAAATCCTTACTCCACCATTTGAGAGGTGTAGTTGGCTTAATCCTGCCCCCCCCCCCCCAGATTCCAGTCCACACAGAATGTGACCTCATTTGGAAATGAGCCTTTACAGATGAAATTAATTAAAATGAGATTCTATTGTATTAGGATGAGTCCTAAATCTGATGACTACTGTCCTTATAAGAGGAGATAATGCACAGAGGGACATGCCGGGAAGAAGACCACATGAAGATACAGAGGGACACACAGAAAAGAAGGCCATGCGAAAGCAGAGGCAGAGACTAGAGCTATGCTGCCCCAAACCAAGGAATGCCAGAGCCACCAGAAGCTTGAAGTGGGAAGGAAGGATTCTCCTCTCCCGACTTCAGGGGACGCATGTCCCTGGTAACACCTTGCTTTTGGATTTGTCGCCTCTACTCTGTGAGAGAATACATTTCTGTTCTTTTGAGTAGTTTGTGGTACTTTGTTACAGCAACCCTAGGAAACAAATACAATAGTTCTGTGAGTTTGAGTGGATTAGTAAACCTCAATGAACCTCATTTTGCTTCTCTATAAAATGGAAATAACAATATCTACCTTCCAAGGTTTGGGTAAGGTAAAAGTTTGTGAAGATGTACAGCACCGGCTTTGTGCTAGGCGCTGAAGAATATGGGAGGCAATAATGCATATAGAGTGAGAGTGATGGCCCTGGAGGGAATTGGCGATTTATGGGCTATGAGCCAAAAGCAGCCAAAAGCCTGTGTTTGTGACTAAACTTTTATTGAAACACAGCCACACCCATTGATTTATGTATTATCTATAGCTGCTTTCATATTACAATCATAGAGTAACATTCAACAGAGACCAAATGTCCTTCAAAGTCTAAAGTATTTACTATCTGTCTTTTTACAGAAAAACAAAAATAATTGGCCACCTCTGCTCTAGATGCTTACAATGCAGTTGGAG